GATAGATAGATAGATAGATAGATAGATAGATAGATAGATAGATAGATGAAGTAAGATAGAGGGAGATAGAGATAGAGATAAATATAAATATAAATATAAATTGTTTCTGGTTCTAGGGAGGGGTGCTCATCTCCATTACAAAGCCGAAGAGACAGCACTGTCCGAAGATGTCTCTGTGGTCATGTGGCCGGCATGACTAACTGCTGAAGACACACGGAACGCTGTTCCCTTTCCACCAAAGGGGTCCCTATTTTTCTACTTGCATTGTTTACATCCTTTCAAACCGCCAGGTTGGCAGAAGCTGGGACAAGGAACGGAAGCTCACTCCATTACGCGGTGCTAGGGATTCAAGTTGCTGAACTGCTGACCTTTCTGATCGACAAGCTCGGTGTCTTAGCCATTGAGCCACCATGTGTGTATGTGTGCGTGTGTGTGTGTGTGTACACACACATACATACACACACACACACACACACACACACACACACATATCCATTATATATATCTGTTATAATAATGGAAAAGTTGGCCTTACATAAAAAGTTGATGTTGAAAGATATTCATACTCTTCCCAACAATGGTTACGTTAATCTGAAAGAAAAAGTTAAATATTAGTTCTGAAAATGTGCATGATAGAATAAACAAAATCAATACAAGCCCAGTTTTGGCCTGAAAGTTTTGGTTTACAGTGTTCAATTGAAGGATAAAAATTAAAGGTTCAAAATCCTATCTGTGGGGTAAGATGTCCTGCTTATTTTTTAAGAGCTCATCTCAAATTTACACTCTCTATAAATATTTTTGTAAAAATCTGGGCCAATGCAGTGCCTCAGAGGGCAATGATTCATGGTCTGATTTGTTGGTGGGATAAATAAATACCTATTAAACCCTTAGGAAGTCGCTGTCTAAGCCATAGTATCCATCTAAGCCAGGAGCTAAGCTTGCTACCAAAAATAGCTGTCACAATGGCACAACTGAACCAAGAGCAATTGCAGTTTCCTCACCTCTCTCATAGAAAAAAAATGTACTCCTATAATATCCACAATTCTTTTGGGAAGGCAAGACAATTATGCTAGTATTGTATAAAACCAATGTAGTGTGTGTG